AATCCACGCAAAATTACATTTATTGCGTATAAAGCAGATTGTGCCATAAAAGTCGCGACTTGTTACTGTCGGCAAAACTTCCGAATCAACCGCCATTCCTTTCCCATCAAATGCTCCTAAGAATACACAAGCAAAGAACGAACCCAGTTTCTCTGTTATTATAAATTTTTATAACATTTCGGACGCTGCTCCAGACGCGCGTTCGTTTTGCCAATCTCAGCCTTTCCAGTTCGAAGGAACGCCTACCCGCTTGCACGTCTGCTCAGTGCAGCATATTTCGTTGGCGTTTGAAATTGCGCATACGAGCGAACGCAAGCTCTGTTTGTTTGCGTTAGCGTTGCGTGTGCACGCGCCAAGTTCTATACTGCGCGCACGCGGAGCCCAAAAATCGCGCTCTTGTACTGGAGCATGGCGACGACATGGAGCACGCAACTCTAACGTAACCATACAGCGCTTTTGTTATCTTCCATACGCCATAGCAACACTCTAATAACGTGCGATCCCACACCGGCAGCAGCACTACATTGGGACAGTGAAGAGCGTTGTTTGCATTCATAAATGACTATTCGCGAGCCGCGATCGCGAACATTCCGCCGTGAACGCTGAGCAGGAGAACTCGGAGACCCCTACTAGAGCGGTTCCAGTTTCCGCCGCGAGAGGGCGAGCAGCGAGCTGGAGGCGCGAATACTCTCGCTGATTAGATGCGCGCTGTGCTGTTTTTGAAGCCACGGGCGGGAGAGAGAAAGGAGTCGCTTTTGTAGGAATTTTGAGTCACGGGCAAAATCGCCGAGTGTGACAAAAACGACGTCTGGGACACACAAAAGAGTGCCCGGGTAAAACGGGAGTTCCTCCTCCCCCTTTTCTCAAACTGCTTGGGTTACGCTCTTGCCCCTGTATAATTGGTAAAAGCTGTCACGTGCTTCGTTTCGTCGCTCTCATTGGCTCGATGGGGGCGTAGTATTCACTCCTTGCCGAGTCTTTTTTTTTTTTTAGGCAATGAGGGTGAAAGAAAGTGCAGTACTTGCTGCGTCGGTTATCTGAGGCCGCCATATTGTACGCATGCAATTGGAACATGCATTGGCCACTCCTTCGGCGTCGGGGTTCGCACTCGAGTCCATACGTATTCGACGCCAGTGTGTTGCGTCCGTGCTGGGTGTGAACTCTTATCCGATCGCCCGCTTCGCGCATGAAGTTATGGCCAAAACGTGGCGGCCACCAGAGTTGCTTGATGGACTTTTCAAAAGGGTCTATTTTCTTTCTCGGCCATGTGGGATAGAATCCGGTTATGGCTACGGTGCTTGTTTCTGTGTGCTAGCGCGCCATAGCTGAGAGCACGTGTAGCGAAAGGTTACGCTGCAGGGCCCGGGGATTCTGGGTTCGGTCCCCACCTCTACCCGTGTCGATCTGGATCACGGTGTAGGAAGGCTCTTTAGGTGTAGAGACTCCGCTCTCCGCCGCGACCAGATAATGACACCCCGCGCGCTTGGCTTCACGGAGCCACCCCCAGAAGGCGCTGTAAGTTTAAGGCCATCCGGCAGCGCACCGGGCCGCCTGTGCTAGCTGCCTGCTCGGTGTGCAGCTTGCTTTCCGGTGGCTACGGGTTCGCGTACGATGTGGTATGTAGGTGGGGCCATTCAACTATCATCTCTCTCAGCACACTGAAGTTTTCGTAACCCAAAAAAATGGCAGACGGACAAACAAGAGTAACTCCCTAATACGAGCCGACGCGGCGGTCTATGAGTGAAAAAGAAATATCCCTCTCCTGTAGATAATTTCTAGCCCAGCTTACATTCCGTCGTTTGTTTCCTCAGTAGCGCAATAGCAACGTCGGGAATCGTTCGTAAAATGAATAAACTCTGATTGTAGCGCAGGTAAACGGTAACTTGAGTGCGACCGAAAGAAAAAAAAAATGCACTAAAATAAAGAATGATTAACACAAACCTTGTTAACGGATAATAAGGAACTGAATTGCTTTAAGCACCGTTCACATGACTTTTCTAAATATATATATATATATATATATATATATATATATATATATATCGGGTTCGCAAGTTACCATTGATTCGACTGGACTATTAAAAAAACAATTTTTTTTTTCAACATGGGCAGCTAACGTGATTATTCTTTTACATTTTAAGGCAGCCTTTGAGTCCTGCTAAATTGAACTACAGGCCGAATTGGCACGAAATTACATATTTTGCACGCAGAGGTTAATAAAAGCAGCATTCTTTGAAAGATTCACTTTGTTAGTACACTTACATTTGCATGTAGCAGATTGCAGCAAAAGATTATAGTAACCACACTCGTCCAGTGAAACAAACCAGTTTTATTAATGGCACTTCTGATATAAGTATAATAATAATATAATCACAAACTTTAAAAAAAAAGCGCTGTAGAAAAACCGCGGTTAAAACATTGTTTAATGTATGGCGCACTCGATAGCTGCTTTTGGAGTTCTTTTCCACATTACGAGTCGCACAGTCGGGACCCTTTCTTCTCTTCTCGAGACTGCTTCTTTGCATATCGGTTTTTTCCTTTGCAGTCCTGTCGCATTTAATGCGATCCGAACCCTTTTGCACGTTCGACCGAAACCGGAGAAGCGTCTGCCTTCCACGGAGGCGTCTGCATTCCACGAGAACGCCAGACAGAATCCGACCCTGAACAGATGGGCAGTCTGTTGTGTCTGCGTCTACCGCATGCAAGACAATCCCTTACGAGGCTCCTTCAATTTGGAGAGAACAACGACCGAGCATGTGACTGATCTATTCGGCAGACGTCTTTATCCTGATCGTCTCTTTTACTAATACTTTCATGTCGTTTTCCCTTTCTAAAATGTTTACGTTTCCCCAGGCTGGAGAGCAGTCGGCGCATTCATTCAAATGTTGGGCTTTGGATCTTTGGATTTTACATTCCTTTTAAGCTCGGTTTACCATTGAAAAAAAAAAAATTTTAAAAAGTTGGAAACAATTAGAGGTAGCGTAAGCAATGGGTGACTTAGCCTACGTTCCGGTGGAGGGCGGGCGACCGGACGGCCTGAGCGTTTTGGCGCCCTCTAGGGGCAGGCGGAGAAAACATAGGAAAGGAGGGGACGTGATGTGTTCGCCGTTCCGACGGTGCCAGGAGAGGAGTCTCCACACCTAAAGAGCCTTCCTACGCCGTGATCTGGATGAGCATCGTACCGGCGAGCGGTCGTGTATCATGACTGCCTAGTTCACGTTTAAGACTTCAAGCTGACGGTTTCCAGACTCAATTTACATTCTGTTCTTAAGTGACACTGACAGAGTATTTACGTCTGCCAAGATTTTTACTTGTACATGACATATAAGAGCCCAAGTACCCAGAACACAATTTGCGGCTCGAAATTCGTTTTCTTTCCGCCCGAAAACCGCCGATCGAGAACTGGCCGGTTTGAGTCGCGCTCACTCTCTTTTCTGAGGTCACGTGTCGTTCTCTGTGATGTAGACACACAAACCAAATATGGTCGAAGTGGTGAGTCATCGAAGGCACGCACTAAATATTAGAAGAAAAAAAAAAGATAGGACACCCATTTTTTGTGGCTTCTAAAAAAAACTGCAAAAGTGTTTATTGAAAAAGAAAAAAAGAAGTTGCACAGAGAAGCACTCTGTGCCTTCTCTCCGTCATTCTCGACATGGCGTTGTACCGCGGCAGTCGCAGCATGGACGGCTGAACGAAGCGGACTAAGCGATGGATGCGGACGACGGGCGTCCGCATCCATCTACTTCAGCACTGTTTTCCGCGGTACCGGCTAACCTGGCTAGCTTCGAATAAAAAATCGTTTACCGATCAAAACAATTAGGATTTATTTTGTACGACACGCCCGACCACTAAGCTGATTCGCACGAAGACCTCGCCGAGTCGTCGCTCCTTCCTCGGACCAAAAACATCGCTCGTCTTACGAACACGAATTGGTAGAGCATGAAGAACGTGCGAATGTCAAGCACGAAATGCTTGCTTTTTCATTTTTCGTGCGATATGCGTCATGCGCATTTTCCGTCTGCTTCGCAAAAAAAAGGCAAACCCGGTCGGATGATTACGTGACAAAACACAAGAAGCAAATGCGGTCGGATGACCACGTGACTTCCGGCAACTCTACTTCTCCGCATTTTTTCTTCGTTCCCAGTTTTGTTTCGGTTTCGAGCAGTTGCATTTTTTTTTTTTTTACTTTATTAAAAATATACCTGACGCTGTAACAAAATATTGGTTTGGTATACTTCTGACACCTTATTAAACCGTCTGGCAAAAAATAAGCAAAAAATATTTGGGAGGGATGTGTCAGTGTCCCCTTAAATATTCTCTGGGATGCAGGTACAAGTAGGCATAAATCTTCCTTTGTCGACGATATATGGTGCACGCACCTGAGCATGTTGAAGCAGTTTTATAGTCATGAATATAAATTTTTTTAAAATTGCGACAGACTTAAACGGCATGGTGAAACCGCAACGGATTTAACGGCAAAATAGAAGGTCTTAGAATTCATTTTTCTTTTGCTATATTAAAATGGATCGGTCCTTTGAAATGTCTGCAGTAATTTACCTAAGTGTGCCCTACCCTTATAACCTCGATGGCTTACGCGAACAGATGACACTTCCGTGCCCTGTGAATGCGAACTGTTCACGTTGAGTGTACCTAGCTCAGGGCCTGCAAACACAGTCAAAGCAAACAGATGTATGCATGCATGAGGCGTTTCTGCAGGTAATTCTGTCATTTAAGGCCCGTTCACACTCTTGCGACCGAGAGAGACCAGACCGGGTTTTAAGCTTCTTGCGACTTCTTAGGACCGGCTCCGCTGCATCGCATCCTGTCCTAAAAAGTCGCAAAAGGCTTAGAAACTGGTCTGATCTCTCTCGGTCGAAGTCGGTCGCAAGAGTGTGAACGGGCCTTAAGTCTGCTGCAAACACCGTGCATGAACAGTGTCAACGTCGCTTTAGGGATTTCCGGGATATCTGTTGCTGACCTTTCCCTTTCTTTTGTTCCAGATCGGCTCCCTGAGTGGCCTCATAGGCTATGCCGTGGTGGCGGTCAACTACAAGGATGATATGGCGGCCTATGACAAGTTTCCCGAGGTCAAGAACTTGGAATGTAAGCACGCCCCTGCTTCCACTCGTACGACGAGATTGGTCTATAGACCCTCTTATTAAATTCGCCGGAACGAACCGCTTTTGGCAGGTTATGACCCCGCGAACATATGGTCAAGCGAGGACAAACAACCCACACCATAGCACCGCTTCTTGCGACTTACATCAATAATTGTATGACCAGTTCACCAACTGATTAGCTAAAGGATTGGTTAGCGAGAGATTTGTAGGAAATTTTTGAATGATCCTGCAAGACGATCGATTCCGTCTTATTTGTTTGATAGGACGACAGAAAATCAAGTTCTACAGAGGGATTTCGGTAGCACTTCATTGTCTCTGAAACATTAACATTAAAAGGCTCGCTGAAGCCTGCCGAAGCGTCGCGGCTGGAAGTATCTTGGGGCGGCAAGAGACGGCTTGTGTTTGTAAAAAGTAAAAGGAACTATGCTTCGTTTTGCCGTAACTTGGCAAAGAGAGAACGCGACGGACCCCTCCAGCTAATTGGAGCGACAAAGGCGAAACTTTGTGACAGCCTCTTGCCAAGAGCCTTATGGACAGCCGAAACAATGTACGTGCTGTGAAAAATATTACCCAAAGAAGCTTCCTGCCGCAGAGTCGCATAACCTACCGTTTTCGGAAATCACCAGTTCGAGGTGTTTGGGTAGGGAATGCACAGTCCACACCACAAGCCCTGGCACGAGCCTCTTGCTTAAATGTCCGTCTTGGTCGCTCGTGAATCCATGGAAGAACGCAAACATGTGCTTTCATACCACAACTTCTGGAACCATGACTTCAAAAAGGGTGGATTGCTGAGAAAAACTTGGCGAGTTAAATGTCAGTGATGCTTATAGTTAATAGAATTCACTTGCATATTGTGTGGCCTTTGTAGCGTTTCAGATGTTATTTAAATTGTATATTAGAATATTTCAATTTGTGTGTCGTCTTCACACATGACTAAGAAAGCGACAGTGAGCGAAGCCCTGAGCAACTGACTCTGGGCCAGCTATTTTCGTGCGAAAGAGAGAAGTCAGATTTTACGTCGCAGGTGCGTTTTTTTAATTGTTGGGTCTTTATAAATCGCGCTTCTATAAATATCTTTACGGGCTTGCCCGTCAAGGCGGGTTGTGCCGGGGCACCGGTGCACGAGCTCGTTAACGCAACGCAGCTTGAGGGCAAGCGGAGTCAAAGTTTGCACTGCAGAACCCAGGGAACCTGCGTTCAATCCCCACCTTTGCCCGTTTTGATCTGGACGAGTATCATTCCGGCATGTAGTCACGTATCGCTACTGCGGGATGCGCGTTAAAGATCCCAGGACAGCAGTCGTGCTGCACTGGCTAAATTTATTATCTACAGCAAAGACACCAGGCACCCACTGGGGCTGGCTAACTCCTATTTTCTAAACAAACACGTATCAGAATTACTTTTTAGGTTGTGCTGACAGCTCGTTGCATTCTCTGCAGCCGCTTTTGGCAGGGTCCTCGCTTACACCGTCATCTGTGCCATCGGGCTCATCGTGGCCATCCTCTGTGTCAGGGGTGCTTTCACGGTAAGGCGCCCCTTTCCTGCTCTTTGTACCTTGAGCTTCAAGAAAATCAGAGTTCATAATAATAGTAATAACTATGATAAGCCCCTTTATTTCCCTTTTTGAAGGGGTTTACAAAAATAAAAAAACGTCTGGAGTAAAAACTCAGCTGCTGATGCCCAACTCATTTTGACGAAAAACAACATTGTAAAAACACAATGAAATGAAAAATACAAACAGAAGCACCACTGCACAGATGATTGCTCTCATATACGTGTAAACAGACACTTTCAATAAAGAAAACGATTTCACCATTTATACGTGACACTTGAGGGGACAGGTTGAAAATTAGGTTGTCTGTAAGACTACACGAGTTCACATTGTTTGCTTCCTGTTCAATAGCATAGTTTAGTGAGTTAAGGCCATAATTAGTATGAGGTGTTGAAACTCCGCGTCTCACCACGATGTGGGACATTCTAAATCTTATTTTTTCAAGCATGTGCAGAAAGTGACAGTGCAAAGGGAAAACAAAAATGATTGTTAAGTTTGACGTTGTGACCGCTCTTGCCCCGTGTAGTTCGTAAGGAAAGGGGCTTCTTCTTTTTCCGCCTGACAGATTAAGCGATGTCTCGTTGACATGGACACTTTGGTTCTCCAAAAAATTGTCCATTATGCGAGGTGTGTATAATAAAGAGACAGAAATGCATGTCTTTTCGGGCGGCGGAGAAACACTTACCGGTGATAAGCTCACCGGAGAAAAGCTCACCGCACTGTCCGATGCGGAGAAAAGCTCACCGGCCTTTTGACGGATGCGGAGAAAAGCTCACGTACGAATCTAAGAACCGAGTCTTCGCTCAAGTGAAATACGTTCACTCAACTGAAGTATATGCTGGGATGCCTTAAGCGCATCCGATCATTGTGCACTTCACTAGCAGAATATATATTTGAAAATATAAAAACATCCTGTAAACACGCCAGGCGTTGCCCGATGAAAATAAAATAAATAATTTTAATAAAACGCTACTTAAAAAAAAAAAATGACGGGGGGAACTCTAACCAGTCCTAAGGGCTGCAGCTTGAGCAGTTTCTGGATATTAATTTATGAAATGACGTTTTATGTAGTATATCGACACCGCACTGGCAAATCAGTAGTTTCAATTTCGAACGAAGTATATAAAAAAGTCGTATTTCCTCTATCCCGGCAACGTCAGAAATCAATATGGTACCAAGCGCAATGGATTGACATAAACGCGGAACGAGGGCTACAGCCAGGGTGGAGAATGAAAATCTAGATTAAATCCTGATTTAAATCGGACGGATTTTACTAGGATAATTTAGATCAAATCTTGCCCGCAACAATATTCTGAAAAGTATTTTTTTATCATTTCATATTTTTATATGGCCATATATATTTTTTATATCTATATAAAATAATTATCACTTAAGACAGTGGTTCTGAAATGGGGGTCCGCGAAGCCGAACTTCATCTGTCAAGCCCGGCAATAAAAATTGTCTTTCTTTTCAGATTGAGAAGAAACGTTCCAATTTTCGGGCGAGTTTGTTGTGTATATGTCAATAAGAGAAGTCTACTTCACACTAGCCCTCGGTTATATGTATTTAATAACTCGCTATCATAATTAACCTATTTAGGTCCCTTCCCCTCTCCACGAACAAGGCCCTCCATCATCTCCGCAGATCCACAGGGGGTCCGCGAAACGTCAAGGGTTTAGAACCACCGACTTAAGAAATATTTATATAAGACTGAACTCGAGCAAGAAGCAGTAATCTTCGGGTCATATAGATGCGTTGAGCTTTATTGTACCTTCGACTTCGTTCATCAGTGACGTCACATCCTTTTTGCAACAAAAGTAGAACGCTAAATACAGAACGAAAATTAAAAAAAACTATGGTCATTTTGCAAAAAAAAAAAAAAAGAACGTTGTTGATGTAGTATGGCGGAACTTTCACGTTTGAAAAGTCGTTAAAATTGCAGTAATTTTTTTCCCGCAGTCTTTGACTGATCGGAAGAATTGAACAAACAACCTGCTGTGTTTAAAAAATGCATATAGTGATAGATATACAATATTTTCCAGCTAGAGTGGTCTGACTTCAATCAGATAAATCGGACTGAAAAAAATATACTGTGTATATTAAAAAAAGAAATCTATTTCGCTTAGCGAAGAGCGACCAGATGTGAAGTGCGCACCCTGCGCTGACTTGGAAAGTAATCCGTTACTTTTTCAAGTAATTTTGTAATTGCTACGTTACTTTTCAGGGAAGTAATTTGTAATGAAATTTCTCAACAAATATTGATAACGGATTACTTCAATTGCTTGTTACTTTTTAAAAACAATAACATAATACAGAGACTAGAGCAATATGAGCAGTGAATTCAGCAGCATAAAGGTAGCAAGTTCAAGAATATAGAAAACATTCTGAAGAGCAGAATAACAGAAAAGAAAGCACGATTTTTCTTACGATCGGTCACTGGTACCACTAGAAAGACGTGTAAGGCATATGCTCTACTAACGTCTAACTTCTGGTTATTTCAGTTGGTAGAGCGCTTCACTAGAAATGGAGAGGTCCCTGGTTCGATACCAGCACCAAGCAGATCGTTTCTGTCGCGCACCAGTCGCCTATCTGTGTTCGGAGATTTTGGTTTGTCCTTTGTCCCCTTTTCCAGGGATTATTATAGTTATTCTTGTCCAGCTAGTTTGCACCTTTGCATTAATTGCATTATCATCCTAATCTTAAAATACAGGACGTTCACTGTTGTTGGTGTTACATTGGTGGCAGCTGTTAAAGCCCGTTTGCTCAACTGACGTTTAACTCCTAGTTACAGCTGAGTTTGTAGAACGCTGCACTAGAAATGGGGTGGTCCCTGGTTCGATACCAGGACCAGGCGGATTTTTTTAGTCGCGTCCCAGCCACCTAGCTGTGTTTGGAGATGTGTGTTTGTCCTTTGTCCCCTTCTCCATGGAATATTGGCATATGCAAATATCCGAAAGAAACAAAGATCAAGAAGACCGCGCCGAATAGGCATATGGTGTTGGCTGCTCGATTTCCTAGAGGAGGTAGCCGCTGCTACTGAGCATGCGCACCGCTAACTTCGTCTGCACCATTCCAGGGATCATTTCCGGGCGCCGTAATCTAGCGGGATGGCGGGTGTGGTTGCAACTTTCAGTGCCTTGTCAGCTTACAGGTGAACGGAGTGCACCTACATTCTGTCTCTTAAATACAATATTTTATTTTTACAAGGTCTACCATAATGCGGGCGTATGGAAAAAGAGAAGTATAGTGTTACAGAACATTTTTTTTTAAACAACAGAATTGTTTTTATTGTTTTCTTGGAGAGTGTATGGGAAAAGTAACGTGAAAGTAATTTGTGATGTAGCGAGTTAAGTAATCCGTTAATTTTCAGCGAAATTAATTTGTAACGGTGATCCATTTGAGCCTCGGTAGTTTGTAATTGTAATCCATTACATTTTCCAGGTAACGGGCACAAGTCTGACCCTGCGTGACACTGTCAACATAAACAAACGATTAACTTTTTTTCTTTTTACATTTTAGTGGTTATCATTAAAACTATTATTGCGGTGGAAATCGCTCATTCGGGGCACCAACTTATGCGATTAAAGTTTGACGCTGATCAACCCCTTCTCCAAGAAAAATGGGAAAAATCGCTTTGCTCTAACTCTGTTGCAAGCTGTACCGCCTGCGTGAGAGACGCCTGAAACCTTAGTAGCGCTACTGCTATTAAATGATTACTACCGCTTTACATGATAATTTAATTCATGGAACGCTTTTCTCCAGGTCTATCAAAAGACTGGCAAGCTTTTCTCCTGACCCGCACAAAAGTGGGCGAGCTTTTCTCTGGTGAGCTTATCTCCAGCGAGCTTACCTCCGGTGGCCTTATCTCCGGTGAGCTTGTCTCCGGTAAACTTTTCTTCGGGATTCGCATTTTCTCAGTTTGTCGTCGAAGGTGGTGTCTATAGAGCGGAGTATCCATATTAACGAGGTTCATATTAACGGGACGTGACTGTACCGAGAAAACAAAGAATTCTGGAAAAGTTTGGTTGTCAAGCTTTGTTGCAAAGCTTTGTTGAAAAGCTTGCAATAAAAGCTTTTCATCAAATGATGATGACAAACAACCCGAAACTAGGATGCGATGTACAAAAAAAAAGTGAAAGAACAAAAAGAGAAAAAATAAGAGGGACATGCGTTTTATACTTTGCTGCAGTCGCTGACAAGGTGAGAACCGCATGGAGGAGCGAGCTTCAGTTGTCCCTCCTCCAGTGTGATCTTCCTACCCTTGACAATGCTTAGGCATCTTGTGAACCTCGAGCGTGCTTGCACAACCAAAGCACGGTGGAAGGCATGGAGTGCGTGCTGGAGGCTAGGCGTTCAAAAGACACCCTGCCGTTCTCGCTTCAGTGAGGGAGTTTATACAGTAACCTTTTTCACGGATCCAGAAAGTAAAATCCACCAACCACAAAACATCCAACCCCCTCCTCCAGAAATATTACGTAGCACAAAAAATTCCACACACGAAAAGACCACAACACAAGAATCCTGGGACAACTAATTTGAACTTAATTACTGCAAAACATCCAACAAAGGGAAGCAAGAGAATATAGAAGACGCGATAGCAGCATCTCAAGCGCAGCTACGAGTTTATTTTCACTTCAAGTCTTTGGACTCTTTTCGGTCTAGTTGAAGCGGTTGTGACCCTTAGGGTCCCTAGACAGGACAGAGGATAACTTAAATTATTGGGTCTCGTAACCGATTGGGCTGGGCATCGATTAAACGCATAACAAAGTTAATCACGACCCTTTATTCGAATAACTATCCGATTAATCGATCTCGTTCATTTCCGTGCCTGTAATACTTGTTTAAAAGTCAGAATTAAATATATATTGTTTATTGAATATGTGATAAACAAGCAATAAAGAATTTTGATTACGAATCAACCTTGATGTGTAGTTGAGTACAGTTCAAAGACACTCACACTCGCAGATTATTACTCCAGCTGCATGAAGCAAAGGGTTTCGTTGATATTCTCCGGGAAAATTCATCTCCTTTGATTGCTATTCGCAATAGTCTTCGCTGAACTAAACGGACATTCGGCACGGCATTGAAATGGCCGGGACACGTGTAAGCTTCTGCGCTTGTCTGGAGCTACAGTTATCGGTTTTACAGTTTACTTTCGGGTAACATTTTACCTAAAGTTTGCCCTTCTTATGGGTGTACGCATCTGCGGCTTCGTAGTGAAAGGGTTTTAACGTTCCTTTGGTTCGTCAAAATTGTACCGATTAACCGGTGAAATATTAACCACGACTAAAGGAGTGCATTATTGATCGATAGGTTAATTGATCGATTGCCCAGCCCTAGTTACCTGAGCTATTGGTATGATCCATTTGAAGGAAAGCTGAAGAGGTTATTTACAACAAAAAAAAACGGTGTTAGAGGTGAATTTTAAAGTAGTTTTATCTTGTAAATTTGAATATCACGTCCGTTTCCCCCGAAGATGCAACTAAACGCGAGAAAACACGGAAAACCTCAAACCAGTCGTTACGTCCTAAAAGGATATTTCGGCCGCCAAGTCCATGACGCTCGTGTGGGCAGCACGTGCAATTGCAAAACTTTGTCAGACGTAAGAATTCCCCGCACTGACTCCAGTTGCGAGGTCCTTCTTTTTTACCTTTTTGAAAACTGCTATCATGCGCGTGCATAGCTTTCATAGGCACTGAAGATGCGCGAGAGCAGAGATTCCCAAAACTCCGGATATGACGTCACGTTCTGGGAAGGAGGGGCTTCGGCGGTACTTTGAAGGTGATTTTCTGCAAACTCTGTGCGCTAAATTGGAAAATAATCTCGATATTCGTGATCCTGGAGGCCAAATGAAGACGATTTATGTGTTTTTACTCAAATACAAAACCGCTTCAGCTTCCCTTTAAACTCCCTATGACTAGGAATGACCCTGAGAGAGCAGGCCCAATAAAAAAGAATGGGAAACTTTGTTGCTTTATGTTTTATGTTTTGTTGATTTTTATCCTCGTAGGATGAGCGGCTCTACATCCTGCCTTACCTGGTGTTTCATGCTATGGTCCTCGTGGTCCTGGCGATCCTTTTTTTCATCATGATCAGCACCGTCCCGAGCAGCACCCAAAGGTCACCTTCAATCGTCGAACGGTTGGCCAGTATCCGGACAGCTTCGCCACTGGCAAGTTCTTGGCCACATAAACATAGACACGGCCGGCAAGGGTCCGGCCACTAACTATCTGCTTTCAGCTTCGCTGCCGGAGACAAAAACACGGCCGGCAAGGGTCTGGCCAAAAGTGTTGATTTTCAGTAGTGATAGATCGAATGTGCCGAACTTCAGATTCGCAAAGTTCGGCACATTCCGAACGTTTGAAGGAAAGTTTGGCAAAGATTCGGCAAAAATTCAGCAAATGTCTTCGCCCGCACGAGAACGTGACGGAGCCATAGATTGCAAACGGAAGATTCATTTTAGGCAATGCTCGGAAATTTTGAAAGCTGAAACGGTAGTCAACAAATCCCGCAAATACATGAAGATGAATAGCGTCCGTTACCGGAAACAAGCCTCATTTGTTCGTTGAAAAAAAAACATCACCCCCAACCTTTTAATGAGAAAAGTAATCTGGAATTTTTCATTCTCTTCCAACCGCTAGGGTTAAAGTGTAGTGGACTTCTAGCGTCCGCAACGTATATTAGGTTTTATTTTCGCGAATTGAAAATATTGTGTTCTCCCCAAAACAAAAGATAGTCAAATTTCCCCAAGTGGTCACATAAAACAGCGCTTTGTGGGTACACCTAACCTTCTTGTCCGTGGGTACACCTAACCTTCTTGTCAATCGTTTTTTTTTTTCTTGTTTTTGCTTGTGCTGTTTTACTTTTTTGTTAAAATTTAACATTAATACTGCTTTAACGAAGACCCAGGGCGCATGTAAGTTTTCGTAATATCTAAAGACGTCTGTCTGAACACCACGCAGTGTCAGAGTCTGGGTCAACGATACAAGATGTTCAAGGGGTGAAAATATTCATCGGGTCAAAACGTTCACCCAGTCGAAATGTCCAATTGGGTCAAAATGTCCAACGAGTCAAAATGTCCAACGAGACGAGATGTTCAACCAGGTCAGAATGTCCAACCAGATGAAATGTCCATCGAGTCGAAATGTCTGTTATCAGACATTTTGACCCGTTGGACAGTTTGTCTCGTTGGACATTATGACGTGGAATATTCTGACCCTAGAACACCCCCCCCCCCCCCCTTGGCTACACCCTTGATGGCCAGTGACTGGCCCAAAGTGAATGGCCAGTGCCTGACCGAAAGTGAATGACCAGTGACAGGCCAAAACTGAATGGCCACTGGTTGGTCAAAAGTGAATGGCCAGTGGATGGTTTAAAGTGACTGACCGAAAGTGAATGGCCAGTCACCACACCTTGGGCCATTGAAAATCTGGTTGGCCAGAGTGCACTTGCCAGGCGATGGCCCACTCACAACGTGCTGCTTGTAGCCTTGGCTCTGTCGAGTGTGCCATTGTTGGAGTTGTCCTTGCGAGAAATGCTGCAGTTTTTGGACTGTCTTCTTGACTTGAAAGTTATACACACTGTGACGACTTTCCTCCGGAGAGAGAGGTAAAATTTGAATGTTGGTTTTGGCATAAGCTTAAAGGGGTCAAAAAACAATATCGGGTTGGAATGTTCATGCTTTTACAAATGCGTACAGATCCTAGTCTGTCCCAAGTATGCTCGCACGAACCACCACTGATTCAGAAGCTTCTTGGTCGCGGTGAAATAGCATGGATAAAAGGGGCCTATTTCTTTCATTCTTGCCTTCGCAAAGCTTGATGACGTTAATGTGGGATCGAAACCACCCGCCTGATGACAGTCGAGCTCGGCTCACGGATGATACGATTAATCGCTCGAGCACTCGACTTCGGCTCGTAACAATCAATGCCTCGGTGGACATTCGGGTAGTAGCTCGTATCCGACTGCGGTGATGAGAATAGCCGAGCTCTAACAATGTATGGAGATTTGCACGCGTTTTCTACTTCGCCGACCCCAGCGCATAGATATATGATTGACGTTGGCGGAATAGGACAGGCACCAGTTCATTTGGCCGCTTCTTCCGTCTCCGAGTTGAAGATCGATGAGTGATGGTTATATTTTTCGAGTATATTTACCGACTGCCATTGCTCAGACAGAAAAACTAAGGCCAGTTTGTTCGGTTATTAATGTTAGGAGTGATTTTGAGTACTATTTAATGAATGTAAAAAGATCGCTCCATGGCCTTTTTAATTTTCCATTTTTGCAACCGCTATTTTTATTTATGAGATAATAAATAGCATGCCCTAAGCCGTAAAGCCTGAGTATTCCAAAAGTGTGTTTAAATTAAACATCTAAAAAAAAACGCCAGAGTTTTTGTTTTTAAAGCGATACTGACATAACCCCTCCCATGCTTGTTTTTATTTTTTTTTTTTTTTGCCAGGTGATTTTATGTGGTCTTAGAAGACTACCCAATCAATATCTTGCTACAGCGGCAAATAAATTTTAATCGAGCTAGAAAAAAAATTTAGCCTTTCCACTTCGGTGAAGAAGGAAGACCAGCGCTCGTCTCGTGTGTTTCTTCTTCGTCCTCGTCTGTTTTTCGCGCTGTTTCCTGCGAGGAATTCCCACCCACTCGCCCAACTATCCATTCTTCTATGGTAGCTGGAAAGGTTGCCACCATCTATGAGCGACAGCGGCAACCAGACTGGTTGTCTGACTGCCGCCGTCGCTCATAGGTGGCGGTAGCTGTCCAGAGTTTTGTGTAGTTTTGTGTAGACACTTGGTTGGTACCGGACACGAAATTTGGGACACTAGCCCTTAACAGCTCCGCTGTAAAACGAATCTGCTTGAAACTAAAACTGGACTGGGGAGAAAAAAGAAATGTAGAGGAGGAGAGAGTTGCTGGAAGTCACGTAACTACGCTCAAGTGCTTTTCCTTTTTTTTTCTGTTTGAAGGAGGCAAAAACCGTACACGTCGCACTTTACACAGAAACGCAATTTTCGCGTTTTTCAAATTTTACCGATTCCTGTTCGTAAAACGAGGAAGGTCTTCAGCCAGAACAAGGGGCGGCGACTCGGCAACGTCTTCGTGCGAATCAGCTTAGTGCTCGGGCAGGTCGTACGGCATAAGTCCAAATTGTTTTGATCGGTAAGAAATTTCTCTTTCGAAGTTAGACAGACTCAACGGTACCGCGAACAACAGTTCTGAAGTAGAGGTCCCACGCCGCTGACCGCCGTCTTCGCTTTGTCCGCTTCGTTCAGCCGTCCAGCCAGCGACTCTCGCAATACGACGCCATGTTGAGAATTACGCTGAGGGTGCGCAGAGTCCTTCAGGTTTTCTGTGCGACTTCTTTTCTCTTTTTCGATCAGCTTTTTTGCAGTTTCTTAGAAGCCACAAAAAACGCGTATCATATTTTTTTATATCTTTAATATCGAGTCAGTGCGTTCGGAAACCCACACTTTTTGTTATAGTTTAGTGCGTGTGTTGCCAGGGCCCAGTGCGATGGCCAGTGCGATGACCATAGAGAACGGCACGTGATCACGGAGAAGGGAGTGAGCGCGACTCAAACCGGCCAGTTCTGGATCGGCGGTTTTCAGGCGGAAAGACAACGAATTTCGATACGAAAATTGTGTAGTGTGTAGTTGGGCTCGAATATATCATGTACAAATAAAAACCTTGGCGAGCATAAATACCCTGTCAGTGTTCCTTTAATGACCCCGTTATTGTATTACGAACTCCATGAAATGAAAGCACGGAAGTAAATAGGGAAGAAGGCTGACATGTGCAGGTCTTTATCCCTATTTTCTCCCCACTTTCACTTCTTACAGATCCATGCCATCATGCTCACTGAATTGTGTCTGCCAAGCCCGTTTCACTGAATTGTTCCGCAACATTTCTGCTTGGATTGCAGGATGGGAGCCAGGTCCTTGGAATCATCTGCTCTCTCTTTGTCTCGTTGTGCATTGGGGTGAGTGTTTCTCCGTGACTGGACGAGACATCTGTCTCGAAAAGCTGTAGTACAGTGTCTGGAATGACTCTCCGACTGGTGTTTAGCCTTTTTTTCCGCCATTGCGTTCATGCTTCAAAAGTGTTCCCAGAGTGGAGCATAGGGCATCACAAGAGCCGAAGTGTCATGATGTCAGGTGACGTGATTCTGGAGGTTAATCGCCAATCTTCTAGAAAAAAAAAGCACGAGGAGCGCAAGTGTTGCTGTCGTCGGGACGTCCCAACTCTTGACTTACAAAATTTATGTGCACTGTCAGGCTTGAGAGCCACCTGCAGCATAAAAAGCGTCGGCCACATCCATAGTATTCGGTGCGGTGACGCCGCCAGGATGGTGGCTTGACACCTGTATGATGTCATCGGGCAGAAATCGAGGGACCACTTTTTAGGGCGGAGTAAACACGCCAGTTAGACTCATTTCATGCACCATAGCTGTAAGAAAAGAGGGCAAAGTTTGCCAGGCACCGACGCTGTCGCCCAGTCCCATCGGCGTTACGCAGCCGTTTATATTAGGAACGTTTGGAGTGTGCCCTTAACGAAGGGACAATTCAGCATCAGCTCAAGACAATAGAAGGCACTTGAAGTATGTGAAATTGTCCTAGCCACTGTTCGGGTTTCGAGTTTAGACCATTGTAGCACCTGGGTCTCTTATGGAAAGGAGGTTGTAGCATCTTAATAAAGATGGAATCACTCCAGATACCAGATATTTTATTACGTTAAACATTACCCGAGAATGGTGGTAAAAGATGGGGCCCTTAGCAAAAGAAGGACATTGGAAAAGGAACTCCTTAAACTCAGCTGCTGTGCACACTCACTTGATTTTTGTTAACATATTTTATGGAAATAAAGGTCGCAATAGGAATAACGTTTTGCATCTTTTGGTGTATTTGTGTGCAGGTATTATTTTACTTTAGTCACAAGTTGGAAGTATTGTGGATACTACAGAACGTGACTCCTATAAATGCCAAGTATTCAAAGCTACACCTAGAGTGATGACCTCCAAATTTCACTAAAATAGACTTAAATAACCCGAAACCCTATTTACCCTTAACACTGACTAAGCATCCGCTCAATACTCCTAAATAATAACTAGCATTGCCTTGAAGACACCAGGGTCAATATCAGCAGCGTCTTTAGAACCGAGGAACCATCGGAGGTTTTCTATAGTTTTGAAATAGTGGGAGTGAAAAGACATATCCACGAGCACCTTAAAAATCTGCTCAGCTGATAAATAAAAAAAGAAGCCAGGATGCTGCATAAAATTAGTACACCGGACCACCAACCTTTCCTATTCGTTCTTGGGCGAACGATGCCGACTTTAACGAATATTTTGTGCCCAAGGGTAGAATGCATCTTGCTACTTATGCATGTTTTCTGTTAGTGCAATACCACATTATTCATTATATTTCTAGTTTCACGCCTTCCTTCTCCTCTTTTGATGGATCCTTTCTGAAATTGTGAGAGGATGCATAGATTATGCGCAGCCGCCATTAGTTGGTATCATCGCTTCCGGCGTGAAGCCCGTGATTTGTTCCGAGCGCTGATCTCTATGACAATTGCTGGATCGCGCTTCCCGCTCCCACGAGTGAAGCCACCGGATAGCCATCTTGCATATCGAAAAATCGCGTTTTTGGAGTGTTGCGGAAGTAGGCGGCGGCGTTCTGAAGACACGTTTTCTACTTTGTCATTCGTGGAAGACGTTTTTTAAAGCCCAGCGTTAGCCGTGAGACTTGCCGTTGAAAACACGTGGAAATTTTTACGGGAGCGCGGTGCCGCAGGAAAAAGGCACAACTTGTCGAAAACAAGTTTCACCGGGCGTGATCAAAGCTTCATTGTCCCGCAGAAGTGCTGCGTGTCTGTACCTGCACACGCTTGGATACCGATCAAGAATCGACGCGGCGGCTAAGTTTTGAAGGTGTGTCGCGCGTAGATGTCTTTACATCGTATATCGGCCAAGGAGTTCTGGATCGTCCAGCTGCTCCGGCGATTGCTCTTATGCACTATTAACCATGGCTATGTTCTAAACCTACTCTATCGGGTCACATGGCAGCGCAAATAGATCAACGATGTGGAGCAAAGAGGGTTTTCAAAGGCAAAACTACAAGACGGCGAGGATGAATATTTTTGAAGTGCGGCCCATAGGGTCGTGTGCAATCTGTTGACCAATCACAATTAGGCGAGCCGCGCTCAAACGTCAAGTGCAATAAAGTAGGTTGAGTTTATTTTAACAACCACATGTCTTGGAATGGTCACATTATCAATATGGTTTAAAAAAACTTTCAGAAGTGCTTGGCAAATTGTACCAGTCATTTAAAATTGTTTATATATAGCTTTTTTTGCGCCCCTTTTAAATTACTGTAGCATGGTGTGGAGCACTACAACCCTGTTCAACCTAAACAAAGTACATATCCTTCAAAAAAGGCTGTTCGCATAATACGAATTTTGTCTTTTGACACACACTCCTCCTCTATTTAAACAGCTGCATTTAACATCTATTCTTGATTATGATTATACTCTCCTCACAAGATATAGATCCGCCCTTCGATGCAATGAACTTTTTTTACTTGTATTTCAAATTTAACTTCCATTTCGAAACCTCATGCCGTTAAGAAAAGGGAACGCTGGAAAATTTCATTAAAACGTACGAACTATGGGTTTCCAATGTTAAGCTATAACTTTCCGTCTATCTTACATAAAGTGGGAAAACATAATTTGTCAAACATTGAAAACCTACATCTAAATAAAATTCGAGAATTTTGTTTTCACAAATAAAAAGTAAATTGTCTTTGTAAGCTGTAAATACATCCGTTTTATATATTTTGTTTCCTGTATACACCCAGTCACAAGATGCCGTCGTTCTTTATGTATAAGAACAAAATTCTTCCTCTAGCAACAAAATACAGTATATAAGTGTTGGCCGTGTAAGTTTTCTTCTTTTCCCATGTCACAGTTGCTTGGATTTCCCTGGTTGCTGTTGTTTTTGTTACCGTACGCCAATTTTAAGATGCAGAGGCCTTGTCAAGTCAAAACTGTTTTGACTTTTTGCCCCTGCAGCCCACATCACTATTTGATGAAGATGTAAAAAATGAACTGATTGATTGATTGAATGATTGATTGATTGATTGATAATGAGCCAGCACTGATCAGTAATGAGGAGCTGTTGTGCGCGGTACTCTGTAAACTGTGACAAAAAAAAGACGTACCTTCCCCCCCCCCCCACTTTTTCGTCGCCACTGGACGTTGGATCAAGCTCGTTTCTGGACCGCGAGTGCAGCAAGTTACAAATACAGTCGTCAGAGTAAAACAAAACGCTGCTTCAGAAGCACATACGGCTTCACGCACATTGGACTCGCAAAACACATCCACACGGTGTCGATTCTTGATCGGTATCCAAGCGTACGAAGGCACAGAGACGCACCACTTCGGCGCGCAAAGGAAGCTTTGATCACGCCGCGAGACCGGTGAACTTTCCTTTCGACGAGTTATGCCTTTTTCCTCCGGCACTGCGCATCCGTAAATATTTCCAAGTGTTCTCAACAGCAAGTCTCACAGCTTACGCAGGGTTTTAAAAAACTTCTTCGGCGATTCACGAAGAACGAGTAGAAAACGTGTCTTATAGCACGCTGCCTCCAGCCTCCATAACGCTCCAAGAACGCGATTTTCCGACATACAAGATGGCCGTCCTGTGGCTTTACTCGCGCTGTAGCGACCAAGCGGGGACGCGCGATCCAGCAATTGTCATAGAGATCAGTGGTTCCGAGTTTGCGCCAAACACTGATGCAGCGCCCGTGTGGAATGCGTTTTGATCCCAGTACACTCTGAATGCTGTTGAAGCGATCCTCTCCAATGCGTGCTCACAGTGCATGGCCAACTGATGGCGGCGGCACATAATCAATAAAACATATAACAATATTGGAAAGGGTCTATTGATCAGGGGAGGACCTGGAAGGGTTTTGGGAATTTCCATACACAATTACGGTAAACATCTTGTATTCATCAAGAAATAGCCATGTTCCTAGGTTCGTTGCAGTAGCCGGCTGATGGGTATAACAAAAAAAAAATATTTTCATTTCTAGTGCTACTTCTTCGTGGTGGTGCTGTCCTTCTACAAGCATCTGACAAATGCTGCAAACAAGTCGGCCATTGGTATGGTGCCTGCGGCTCAGTCTCTCTACCCTGGCACCTATGTGCCACCTCGGAGCTACAGTCCCGTTCTCCCGGCACCCCAGCGCTTCTCGGATTCCAAGACGAGCCTTGTGTGAAAAGCCCAGACCCGTCTGCTTACTTTTTTGTTGTTGTTGTTCTACTGCTTAGTTATTTTAGCTGCCCCCCCATTATGTCTCCTGGTGCTCTTATTTTCTCACCTGTTTTCTAGGATGAGGGATAGTTTGGGGTTCTGGTCATTACTACATTGGTCTGAGACTGGCTTGACTTTGGGATTGGTCCTTTGCACCAGTGTGTAAAGGCTAGGCAGTCACTCAAAAGCTGTTTCTTCTTGTCTGCTGTCTGGTCTGCTGCCTTGGGGTCCACTGCCAGGTGTTATTAGGCTAGCATCTGGCCATAAATGTTGCGTCGGAACATAGGTCTGGCGTCAGGACTTAGGCATGGCGTCGAGTCTTAGGCCTGGCGTTGGGTGTTAGACCTGGCGCCGGGTGTTGGGTCTTGCACCGGGAGAATGAACAAACTGTAATGTATGTGAGATGTTCAATTGTTGGGCCTAGCTTGGTACTGGTGTTACTAGCCCGGTGGACTGTTCTGCTTCTCCAAGATAGACTTGGTCAACATTATGTGCTAAATCGGGACACATCTGGCTCGTCAACTACACATATAATGTAGAATATAACGTTACTGTTCTTAATGTCTTAATGAAGACTTAAAAAGTCCACACAAAGCTGATTATTCAAAATTCATTGATTCCCATAGAACTGTGATTGATGTAACTGCATCAGTGTTAGTATACTTATTTAACTTTACCTTGTCAACTGGCAAGTTCCCATATACCATTAAACTCGCAAACGTTTCTGCTTGCATTAATGAGATGATAAAACTGTAGTTACAAGCTATAGGCCAATATATGTACTATCTATATTTTCTGAAGGGCTAGAAAAATTATTTTTGCGTCGATACAACTTATTTTTTAAACATTCAGTGGTAACTGACTTTCAGTTCGGTCTCCGCAAGGAGAAGTCCATAGGATGCGCTTTCTTATCTAAAAAAACTAATATCAAGAATTATAGCTCTGTAGACCAATATAGAGTGATACTAAGAAATATAAAACAAATAGAGTGGACACGGGGACATTTTATTGACTTTAGCAAAGCTTTCGATTCTCTTAAGCATACAACGCTCATTAATAAACTTTAATATTAGGGTGCATGAGGAAAGTCTTTAGGACTTATTCATTTACACCTAAAACATCGCAAGCAGTGACTTAGTAAATGATTATATTTCTTCATTTCAATTATTGAAGTCTGGTGTTTCACAGGACAGTTATGCTTGGCTCACTTCTGTTCAATGTGTATATTAATGACATCGTCAACATCCGTCAACATTCACGTTTCATAATGTATGCAGATGATTTATTTTCATTACTGCGACGAATTTTGGTGAGCGGAAAATTACATTGAATGCTGTCTTGAGAAGTTTTTTATGGTCAGAAAAAAACGGCCTTGAAATAAATATGGCAAAAACGAAAGCGATTGTATTTAAACCAGTAAATAGAACATATTGATACTAATTATGCACTTAAAATTGGTAGCAGCCAGATTGAAATATTAAGCCATCATAAAACGCTAGACGTCATTTCTTTATAGTATATGCAATAAAATCATCATATAAAATTCCCAACCTACAAACTGGCAAAGGTAGCTGACATTATCGGTCACTTTCGCTCTCCTCTGCCTACAAAGGTTAAGATTCAATTTTATCATGCTTTGTTTGGCTCGCAGATTAACTACTCCATTTAGTCTGGGGCACAACGGCAACAACTAATATCAACAAACTAATCATTCTTCAGATAAAATTGGTTTGTTTTATTGCAAATATTTAATACGACACACATCCCGACCCACTCTTTTTGAGCTACAATGTCATGAAAATGTCCAGTGTTTATCACTATCGTTTGTTATTTGCTTACGCATTTTCAACTTTGGAATATATTACATTTTTTTACGAATATAACAAACCTGACTAAACGTGAATCAGTCATCAATGTTTGTCACAGAGAATTCTAGAACGTTACTCATTACCATAAAAATTATGCACTGCAATCTCTTGCTCATAACCTACATACACTGCTCAACAACCTTTGCATGAACCGCATTGACATTCATTGTATAACTAAAAAAACGGTGCGCGCTTTTTGCCTTGTTTAAGTAAATATATTTGTTTTGAAGGAATTTTATCGGAATGTTTTTAATTGTTTTGATAGGCATTTGTATGAAATGTGTTGAGTTGGTTTGTATATATTTTAGGAATGTTTAAATGAGATTGTTTTTAAATCATGCATTTCCTCTACGTGCAGGGGCACTAGACCCAGTAAAGCTAGCTCTTGGTAGCTTTTTGTCCGGTATCCACGGCATAATGTTGCTGAAATTAAAGTTCAGTTCAGTTCGAAATTCAGGATAATTAGCTTTAGATTTAATGTGAAAGTGATACTAGCAAGCTGTATTCCAAATTGGCAGTGTACCTACAAACCTGGCTTGCTGTTTTCCTTTGTTTAACAAGGTGCTTGAAGTCGCTACATGGACTGTCCCCTGAGAGCAAGGTTAAAAGGCCCTGATACATACGGCTAAACTTGCACACCCAAGCCCAGTTGAGGATGAACGCTGTTTGAAGGTAGCTTTTGTGGATGTGCTCAAAATAATATAGGCTTCCGTATTATTAGCCGAAGCCTTGTCTGTTGTCCACTATTATTTCTTTTTTTCACCAGAGGTTTCTTTCATTCCCAGCTGTCTTGTGAGCTATATTGTTAGCACCGTCGCCTTTAAAGCTGCTGTGTACAAGGAATTCCTTTTACGTCACTTTCAGTTTCTAGGCTACTGAATATTTTAGCCGCAAAAAGCCGTGGGGATGGATGACATCTTTGTTGAGTTGAGAAAAAATTGGTTTTGCTTGCTGCTCTCTGTCTGCGGTCACTGTAAATATACTCACTTTTTCAGTGTCGCCACCTTTTCATGCGATTCTATAGCTCTAAGGTGCGTTATGAGGCGGAGGTTTGCCAACACAAAGATGGATGTAGAGTATTTTTATAGAGTTATGCTGCATTCATTGTCTCTATGTGAAGGCCTTCTAGTCAGGTTATACCTGGTGGTAGATTCAGCACTTCTTCTGAACCATATGACTAAAGAGACATTGCCCACTTGTCGCTATTTTACATAGTTATACCTCGGTTTTTAACAACCTAATTTGTTTAGCTGTGGCGATTTGATGGGCATTTTCGGGGAAGGTCGTGATGAACTGCTTACTTCATCAAAATTGTTACGAGACGTGGCCACCTGCAGTTCTGGTAGGAAGTCACAATCACAATATCGCTCCTTAGTGCAAGAGCCTATCAAATTGGGCACATTGACGAAGGCATTTAACCTGAGGATTCTTCACAAGTGTCGTGTAGAAGCTAAGGTAACAAAAAAAAGCTTGACATCGAAGCCTCATGAACCGCGACACCATGCCTTGCTCCACTCAGCAGTCTTTCAGTTGTCTGACTGCTTATTGCTCCGTACCTGCCAAATGAAATTTCTGCCAAATGAAATTTCTGCCAAATGAAATTTCTACCACAAAGAGTGTTTCTTATTCTATGTGTGCACATTGGTGTTTGCATTCAGAATGTTTGTATGCAAGAACTGTGGCCGTTTCGTTTTTTGTTACTCTTCACGACGGCCACGTGCACTGCAGTTACATTGTTAGACCTTGCGCGGAGGTCATCGCAATCGCCCCTCATTTACACCAAGTGGGCTAGCACTTTATAAAGGTTATAATTCTGCGTTTAAATAAAGCTGTTACGCGAAATCTTGAGCGGGAACATGGAGTTTGTGTGGCTGACTTGTTCCATACAGTGGCGATGAATTGGAAGACCCATAAAATAGGTGCTGCTAAACTTCCTTTCGCTGCGACTTGGCAAGGAACGAACGCTGCAGCCCCCTTATGCCTGTCGGAGCGAGGGTGGCAAAACACGTGACATCCCTCCAATGCTACAGGGGCGGGAGCATAACCCAAGCAGTTGAAGAAGGGAAGTATGAACTCTCCTCTAACACAGACCCTCTTTTGTGTGTCCCAGCGGTCACTTGGTTGCACTAGAAGAGGGGTTGGCAACCCGCGTACCGCATATGAAACTGCATCATGTGTCGCCGCCTCCTTCCTTTGCTGCCTTTGACACGAGAACAACACGCAAGTTTTTATCTCAGATGTGGTTACACAGCAACTATGAGCTCTTCCATTGGGCTACTTGAACAGAGAACCTCTTCACTGCCTTTTTTTAATTCCATTCGTTTGCTATAACTGAGATGCATATACATTTTACTGAAAAGCAGATGAGCCCTTAGCCAGTTCACTAGTTTGGGTTCATTAAAAATAAGAAATCTGAGACCAGAATGAGCATTCTCGTTTTTTCGCCCCCCCCCCCCTCTTTTTTCTTTTTTTGCGACTTGTCGTCCGGTCCCCTTCGTGTCTACTGCGTGACTACTCGGCCCGCCGCTGCAAAAGGTTGCCGACCCCTGCATCAGAAGTTTACCTTGTCACCCAAATTCATACTAAAGAGGCTATCATCCCCCCCCCCCCTTTTCATGTAATGCGTTCAAACGAACGTCTCTGAGGGTAATGAACTTGGTCGCCACGGTGTCTCCCTCCGATACGATTATTGAGTCACTATGACCGTAGCCTTCGTGGTTTGGCAAATTACGGTTAAAACCAACCAACGTCACTACAGCATTTCCTACAGTTAAACTCCGATCCCACTTTGGACAGTCCGCAAAAAAAGATCAACGTGTCGCTCTGTGACTTACAGCAGAATTGTAGCTAGGTGGTGTACGCATAAAGCTAAAATAGCAAATAAGCTTACCTTTTTCGAAAAAAAAAATAAGAAAAATCTTTCTCGGCTATCTGCTGCGGCGTTCGCAGATGTCATGACCGGGTTCGCTAGTTAAATCTGCCGCTGACAGATGTCGGAAGCGTCAGGCGTGCCGGCGCCTAGCTTAGCAGACGATCATCGGAAACTTTTTACTATGCCAGCGCGCTAAAGGCCTTGCAGTGCGCTGGACGTTTCCGACATCAGTCGGGCGGCAGATATAACTAATTGAGCCCGGTCATAACGTCGCCTGCGAGTTCCCGTGGAAAATACCCCAAAACATGATTTTTTTTTAACAAGGTAAGCTTATTTGTTGATATTTTAACTCCATGCATGTACCATCTAGCCGCACCTCTGCAGTACATTTTACGGTGATATGTTGAGAGACATATATTTGCAGACCGCCCAATGTGGGATCGAAGCGTTAGTGTACATATCAAGCACGTAGCCCGGGGGGGGGGGGGGGGGGGGGGGCCACGGGGCCCGGGCCCTTCCCCCCCAAAATTTTTCATTTTGCTGGGACCTTCTCTCCCCCCTCCCTTCATAAAGCATTTTTTCATGGGCACCCCCACCCCAAGAAAAACACAAAACCCTGGCTACGTGCCTGGTACATGTTCTAGATTAGCTCAGTGGAACTGCCAAATTGACCCCGTAAGTGATGACTTCACAACATGGCGCTCCGCTCCAAACAAAGAATTGCTAGGGCCGTTGCTATGGACAGATGCGTGGGGACTTGACGTGAGGTTAGAAATGGCCTGATAAAAAAAAGTGAATATTTTTTTGGAAGGATTGTGTCTTCTCAATATCTAGTCACTAAGACTTTTTCTATCGTCTCAGTACCATAAAGTGATGACAAAAGCCCGTAATAACGTTCCACAACCGGTTTTGCCTTGCTAGCAGACGACATGATGGCTTCGCGGGTTCAGCTTATCGGAGGGAGTACGCGACTGCGTTAAATAAAGTTGGTGATGATTGACGAAACTTTTACTCGGTAGTCCGGTACAACTCAAGAAGGTAGGGCGAGGGAAACGATGGAACGGGACGAGGCAACACCACCTAGATGGAAAGCCGCAGCGCTTCCCTCTCTCCCTTCAAGGAGCGTCGGCATGAGTAGGCTGAACTGGTAGTGCGCTTCTCCGCAACACTCCCCTTGACAGTTGGCTTCTTTGCAATGCACGTTCTCTATTACTTTCTCTTTCCCTCTACGCTTGACGCGGCGCAAACAAAAAGCAAAAAAAACGCCACGGCGTCGCGTTTTCTTTTTTTTTTTTTTTTTCTTTTTTCCCACTAACGGTTCTCCGTCGCGTTCCTTTCTTCGACGGCTTCTTTAGCTACTCCTGCGGGTTGGGTCACCTGACCATAAGGCTGGAGGAATCAACTAGAACAACTCTAGGAGCGAGTAGGTTTTTGGACGCCGAGGGTCGTAAGTTCAACTCTTGAGTGAGATAGAGCCCATTTTGGAAAACAACACAACAGCGGCCTCGTGTGTGAACGTGAGCGTCACAGTCACAGTGGAATCATAACCAGTGGTCCCACTCACGGCCACTTCCGGTAATCGCGCATACACAGCGCTCCTCAAGCCGCATGGCGACAACTGAAGTTGTAAAACAAAAACAAACAAAAAAACAGGGTCAAAAAGAATCGCAATTGACTAAATTGAGTGCGTTAATGTTAATATTTTTAGAAAACATAATAATTTAGGTAATAATGATAAACCAACAAAGAAAGAAAAAATCGAGCAGTTACCGTTAGCTTCAAAAAGTTCATTGCCCTAACCGAAGCCATGTCGCCGGTCGCGTTGTCGGCGTTGTCGGTGTTGCTGTTCTGCGAATTTCTCTTTCCTAGTACATTTCCCTTTCGGTTGGATCCTCGCTTGGCGTTTTAATGTCACGTGAGTTACCGAATCACGCTATGAATGTGCTCTAAATGGGCCTGCTCAGGCAAGAAGCCAAAAAGCCGGGGTCTCACTTTGCCGTTCGAGATTCCGGGATTCCGCTTCAAGTTTGTTGCTGGTGAGTGCAAGCATTTTAAAGTGCTCGTGCTGTCCTTCGCGTCAGGTTATGGCACGATCGTCTTTTCTCCAACGCAGTGTATGTGACTCGGTTAATTTCTTAGTCGTATGTACGTCGGACGTGACTTGTAAAACGGTCGAACGTAATGAATTGCTTGTTCACGCGCAACCTCCACGTATCGAAGCTTGCACACCACTTCACTGGAAAAATATAAATATCGTGGCAAATGACGCGGATCAGGACCGAACCTGGGATTTGCTAATCTGTAAAATCATAAAAGAGAAGATGGCATCATAGCTTAAGATAAAAATAAAAGAATAAAAAATAAATAAACGCAACATTATAAAAAGTGAATTTACCAGTGGTTATATATTTGCAAACAGGCTAAGCAAGTTGACTGGGCACATTGAACATAATTCTGAATTAAATAGTCAAACGGATGTGCCTTCAAGGGAATTAACAGAAGGCACCTCTAAAAAAAGTGTTGCTCAAACATGCCAATTTCCTGGACTCACACCTGTCTTCTCTCTCTCATCAGAATACCCTGTGGGTATGGCAGCATCTGGTACCTGTCGTCCAGCATGCGTCGAGACCCCTCCTCCCCCCGTCAAGCTCCAGACATTATTTATCTCCGCTTGGCACGTCATGCAGTAAGACCCACAGTACTTATCTAATTTAGAAGTATAAGCAGGGACAGATCCAAGGGGGAGATCCAAGGGGGGGCGACGGGGGCAGCCGCCCCCTCCCCCCCCCCCCCCCAACAAAGTCGACCTCCCCCTCTCCCCATCTCGGAGGGCAATTTGACATGGCTGGACCCCCCGGTGCACACGAAAGAAGGGGAGAATAGCATCCTTACAAGCTTTCTGCCCCCCCCAAACGGAGTTCTGGATCTGCCCCTGAGTATAAGGTGTGTCTCACTTCGTCCATTCACTGTATGCTGTTACTTTCTTGTTCCAGTACGATGGTTCCTCGGAGAATCACAGAGAATACCACGAGGGCGGCAAAGTGTGGAGGCAAGCTGCAAGGGCCGGACACCAGAGACGAGGACCATCAGTAACCAGCGGGATGAAGTGAGAAAACTCAAGAGGCAGCTCATCATCTGGGCCACAAGAAGAAAATCGGAGACCGTACGCTGGGAAATTTGTCGACCCTCATCCTTGGGTGGCATGAGCATTTTCTGGTCATATTCGTACGTGAGGTGAACTGTTACTGGAACTAGGTTGACTCATCCTTCTGCAGCTTACAGGGCATTACTGAAGCTACGGCACCAACGAGACAACCGGAACATTTGGCTAAGGGACGGGACAACATATTGTGGGAGTATACTCCTCCTATGGAGAGCTCTCACAAAACTTGCTTCGTTGCTTTCATTAGCTCCAAAGGGCGGCAGTGCTTTTCTTTGTAAAATTACGCTGAAACAGATTATAGCTGTAATAGGGCCACCGAAATTGACATTGCGGCATAACATTCCTCATGAGGGTTCTGGCATCTATTCTATTATCTCTTATGCAATTATGAATGTCGCAGCCACAAGTGGTCACTTGACAATAATCTGCAACTCGTCATATGACAAACTGCGTAAATGGTTGGGTAAGTGCAGTAAATGTAGTTCTGCATATCTGGGAAAAAACAGTGGCTGGGAGGGCTCTAGCTCTTCCTCTGTCTTAGGGATCAGCACGACAACCACAGCTGGTTGTCGTGCCAGTAGACCTCGTTCTGAAGTCACCGAAGAAAACAACAATAACCAGTTGCTGCCATCACATTGTGTTAGCCAGTGGTCAAGAACAAGATTTTTGCTCTTGAGCTTGGACAAAGTGTTCTTCACTTAGTTTTCTCAAAGCCCCTTTGACACGCAATGGCACACATAACCTAGCTCAGTGGACACCCTACCTGTTAGTAGTGCTTCCAGTTTGTGCTAAATCACGAAAAGAGCCCTTGAAAAATAAG